CCAGTAGAAAACATTATCAATTAAAAAAACAGATAGCTGAAGAAATCATTTAACATTAGTGCTCCTTAAAAAGCTGTCCCTTTTATCTTCCTTTGAATTGATTAATTATAGATCTGCTACATGATTTATAGATACCAGCAGAGATGGAGGTAGAAATTACTCACGCTGGGAACTCCTAGTGGACTTCCGTTAAGCAGCCTGGATGCTATTAAACGTCCCATATTACGAAGAGACACGGAGACTCAGGATCAAGCACCATGTTCTTGGAAATTCTAGAACTGTGTGTATTTTCCCCCAAAATTCATATTTTAGTCATTTTAAAATAGAGGAATTGCTTGCATGAGATAGAATTTTTTCTTTTACCCGTTACTAAATAGTGTAGGTTACGAAATTCCACATCTCTCAGAGACAGTGTTCCAAATTTTCCAAGCACACGAGAATCAAATTACTTAAATTATGTCTATTTCATATTCTGAGTGCATGCATTTGCAATTAGCTATGTCAGATATTTTTCTTTCATTTAATTTCATCATCATCAAGTAGTATTTATTAAGCACAAACCTAGCTAATTAATTTTCTAGAGAATAACAGGTATTCTTAAATTCATTCTCACTATTTAAGAGCTCTTAAATAATCTACCTGATACATGACAGTTTTTCCCTTAGCAAAAATTGCCTTCAAATGTCAATTTTTACCCTATTATTTTAAGGTTTCAGTAGGACACATTCCACTCCCAAAGTCAATATATTAAAAAAAAAAAAAAAGTCATTCAGAATTAGTACAACTTATTCTATGAGACTTTTATTTTTACTACAGCATGTTAATATCCTACCTCATTTTTAAAAAAAAATCGATAGTTATATATTTTTTCTAAAAGTGATTTACTTTTAAAGTTGAAAATAATAAGTTTAAGTTAATGTAACTGCTTAAGTTAAATAAGCGATAGATGTAAAAATGCATTTTCTCTAAAAAATTCACTTAATATAGTACATCAAAAGCAAAGCAAAAGAAAGCCACTGGTGGCAGAATTCAAAACGTTTAGCAAATGTGAATGAAAATATCAAAGGTCTTCGAACTGATCATCCAGACTTTATGTGTGCTTCCCTGGAGAAAAGGGAAAGTAATTTTTATGTGGATTTTGGGAAAGGAGAGCATTTTTCTCAAGCAGTTTTTTTCTAACTGCAACAGACAATATTTATTTTCATTTAACAGTAACAACACCACCACATTCACTTTAAATTCCAATCACAAAAGAGAAATTTTAGAAAAGCATCCTCATGAACATCATAATTTCATTCCACTCAGTTCATGGTTCATGAGAAGTTAACACATATACTTGTATCTGGTATATTTTGTTTCTGGGAGCAACTGCACTGTACTTTAGGGGCAAATGCCCAGGAAGAACGACTGAAAATAAAACGAAACACGTAGTGCATGTTATTGTTTAAGTATGTTAGCATCAACACTCAAGTCACATTTGGCTCTTATGGTCAATGATCACTTTGCACATGGAAAAGCAGGCCTCAAAGAGACGCTTCAGAGGCGTCCAGAAAGCACTCCACAGGTTCAAGCATCTGAAGTGTCGTGTCCTGACCCTCGGAGAGGAGAGTTTCTGGGCTTTACTTCTTGATATGCAGACTGGAATTTAAATATTAAGATAAGAGTAAGCATTTGGATAATTCTGAATAGAGTGCAAATATTGTTCAGTTTGCCCTTAGAGGGAGTGAAGGATGCACTTCCAAGAGGGAATCCTAGAGAAGTAGGTGGATGCTCTTATTTTCAAGTGGAGATTTACATCTCCATTAGAATAACTCAAATAAGAGAGGAAATGATAGAAAGCAGTAGCCCCAGTAGTGAGGGGAGAAAAAAAGAGGCCCTCCATTATAGTCACAGCCATTCATGGGTTTTACATGTGGCGAGAAGTCTGCTGTCTTTGTTTACCCCAAGGGAAGGCCCCAGGAGAATACAGCACCCAGAATCCACAGGAAGAATCTGGTCGTATTTTCAAAGTAGTTTTCAAAACTCCACCTTCCCTAAAGGGAAAAACACCTTGAGAACCAATTAGTGGTATGGAGGCCCAGAAGAAAAAGATTGTGCTCTGGAGGAAAGATTATTTTGTTGATTTCAGGTAAAAACCTAGGGCCAGGTGCTAAAGTGGATGTTCCCCTGCTTATCTCCCCCATGCCCCGGGGACACTGCAGTCTGTTACATGTGTATCTTCTGAAAAGCGGCAGGAACAAAGTCTCAAAACAATTTTTGTAAGACGTAATCCTGGATCACAGAACAGGTGGCAATTTTCTGAGGAGTAACAGTGGATTATTGGAACAGCAGAAGGAGAATAGAAAAGCACTTCCTTTTTTTCTGGTTAATCAGATTTCTTGTGAGCAAAGCTCAGGCCTCCAAAAGTAAACAAGACAAATGGATACTAAACATTCACAATAAGGCTAAATTGATGATTGATGCCTCTTACTGTTTAAGATCAGCTATAAATACGCTGTCCAGTGGTTTCTAATGGTGTGATTGTCTGAGTCAGCAGACCAGTATCAGGAAGGAAATTTACATAAATGGAAAGTGAAATCTTGCTGCAAGAAACAGGACTGTCGGAAACTGCTTAGGTAAGGAGCTGCTCACTTACACAAACATGGATATACATATTCAACCTGCTCTCCAATATCTCCTTCAGCTTAAGTTATTGCCCATAAAAGAGCTAAGATGTTTGCTTTTAATTTCTAAAAATTCCCATTTCAGTTTCAATATTACTTGGAATAAATTCTACAAATAGAGCTGTCATTAGAAATAAGAAGAGTAATATCAAGCTGGTATCCACAAAGATAACTAAGATTCACTCTCAAACACAGCACATGTTTAAACGGCTTGGCTAAGGATGACACGCATGACGCAAGACAGCTCCAGGGCGTCAGCCCCTGATCTCCAGGAACCTGAATGGATGACATGCGAGAGCCCTCATCGCAGTGCAGCGTAGCAGGTGCTCTGGAGTCAGACTGCCTGTGTTCAAACCTTAGTTAAACAGTTCCTAGCTCTGTGACCATAGGAGAGGCACTACCCAGTGTAATCTGCAATTTCCCTTTGATAAAATGGCATGATGATAATCCAATGTGACTGTCAAGAATAAAATCAGAGAATCCACCTAAAACTCATCACAGAGTCCAACGTCTATTAAGCACTACACAGAATGAATGGTAATTGCTGTTGTTGTTGTTATTATTACTATTATTTCTCTTCTGCTCCTGGTTCTGCATTTCTGAGCCAAATTGGAGAGTCCGATAGATTGGGTGATTGGCCCCAATTCTTCCTCCTTCTCTGTGCTCATACTTTTGCCACGGCCTCGTCATGGTGGACTGTGTTCCCCCACCCTGGGACTGACCTTGGATTCAGCCATATGACTTGCTTTGGCCAGGGGTTTGTGTGTGGAGCGACAGTGTGCCAGTCTGGGGCCCAGAAGTTAAGAGGCTTCAGCCAGTGCTCCTGGCCCTCTGACACCTCAGCATACGAGAAGAACGTGCTCTAGCAGGCAGGACATGTGGAGCACACTCAGACTCTGGTGACAGAGACACACCAGCCTGCATCAGAGCCCCTCTCACTGCCCTGCAGAGCCATGAGGGAAATAAAGGCTTATTGATGGATGTTACTGAAATTTTGTCATTATTTATTATGCAACAAAAGCTAACTGATTCAAGAAGTGCATTAAGGAGTTGTCTATCCACAATGCATTTCTTATTTCCCAAAGAAAAGACATTAGCTCAGAGTCTAGGTCTGAAACAAAAGTGGAATGACAAGTGTGAGAAGAGATGCTTCAACAAAGCCAGGATGTGAGGGCCGGGGGCCCCTGCAGACTCTAACCATGTCTTCTTGGCTTTCGAGTGGGAAAGGGCACAGCTATCAATATCAAGATGACTCTAAAATGGCTAACATTTGTTGCAAATCTATCGTAGGCTCAGCATGTGTGGTCTCTCTGTCCTCACCAGAGCACCAGGAGGTAGGCACTACCAATTTTACTCATCTTACAAATGAGGAAGCAGAGGCATATGGAGGACAAGCAATTTGCCTACAGTGACGGAGGGTGAGAGTAGTTAAGGCAGGATTCAAACTCAGGAGGTCTCACTGCACAGCAGGAGATGACGAGGAGGGGGAGGACAGCTAACGAGAAGCAGGCACGTGTTTCAACCCCTATTAGCAGTGATGATCACGTCACAGCTTCATCATCACATCGTGTGTATCGCTTTATTTAATCCTTAGAACCCCTTGAGTTAGGTATTATTTGTTATCCCCATTCTACAGACGAGGAGATGGGAGCACAGTGGGTCCAGTTCCCCGCCCACGTTCACACCCAGCTAGCAAGGATGCACCAGCTGGAGCACACAGTGGTGGAGTCAGATCGCAGCCCCGCCATCTGGTTAACCACTGCACAACGGTAATAGCTATGACCACACTGCCCACCCCAGCGTGAAAGGGCAGAGCCACGGTCTTTCCTTTTTGTCTGGAAATTTATAATATAATATAAGCATTCCAGGCACCATGGTCATCTTCAAGTGTGTACATGTGATAAATGACCTTTAATCTATACCACAGTCACTCTCAGGCTCCAGTAGCTTTCATTCTTGCAAGCACAAGAAGCATACTTTCTTATTTGCTGCCTTGATGTTGACTTGTTTTTAGTTTTGTTTTTCTGATTGTGTATTTTTAGGTTCAACTTCGTTGGGTCACAAATTCAGAGGAATCCTAACAGAGTAATAAAAAGAATGCAAGAAAGAATATTAATCACGATGGGTTTTAGAACTATCTCTAGGAAATGAAATTAACCATGTAAAGTATGAAAACAGACAACTGTTGCCCAGATCTGATCACACACACATTTCCTGCATCTGGCAGAAAGTCTCAGTGGTCTCAGCCTTGAGACACTTTCTCCATCCAGTTCCCAAGCACAACAGCCACATCTCGAGGTATCTTCACACTCACAAGCAAACATCACTCCTACCCACCTTAAAAGCAGCACCTCCATGGATGACGGATTTGATAAAAATCCCCAAGTCTGTTCCAGTTTCTCGAGATTTGTTCCCTTTCAAGCTCACTCCGAGGCCAGCAGAACCTGAGTCATTCAGGGGGATCTCGAAGGTGAGCTGTTCAGTTGTTTCCAGGGAGAGCGCGTAGCAGTCAGGTTCTCCTTTCTGTTGGGAAGCCACACGAAAGAGTGAAGGGAAGAAAGCAGGTTGACATTTACACACTCAGATGGCCAAACACATATGCAATTGGCGAGACAGGACGTCTGGACCTCTAACAGCTGTAATCCTGCTCCTGGCAGGCGAAGGCTGGCTGTCTCTCCTCAAGGGGCGACCACCATGTCCATGGAGCGGGGGAAGAGTTCTTGGGAATAATATTTGGTGATGGTCAGCACAGAGGACCCTTTGGCAAGGCATAGTCATGCCCTTTGAAACATCCATAAGTATTTGAAATTTAGCAGAATATTCTCAGTAATTAAAGACTCTGGACATTACTTAGGGGATGTTAGGCACCAGAAAAGACCTTAGAGATACTGTGATCTCAGGGTAAAATACTGAGATCTACTCAGGGTAGATACTGTGAACTTAGGGCAGAAACATGCTAAAATTTTAGGGAAATATTTGTCTTATATAATTTTCAAACATATCATTCACCATGGAAGCAATGTTATCGATAAAAACTGTCAATCGGATAGAGCACTGAAAAAATTAAGTGTTGTTTGAAAGCTAGAGAAATGCGATTCATAATGGATATCACTGAATTAAATTTCACTGTGTCAAAACTCATGCCTTAAACTTGCATCTCTGGGTAGCATAAGTCACCAGCAACCAGTTTTTGAACCTAAACAGAAATGAAAATGCATAACAAATATTCATGTCCTCTTCGACAAATGACATCTAGCCACAAGCAGAGCTGGTCTCAAAAAATGCGGAGTATGGCGGCAAGAGGCACATTTAGGGTTCAGGTCTCCAGGGAGAAACCTGTTTAATCATATTTGATCCCTGATGTTTTCAGATATACAGTAGCGGGAACGAAAAGTGCCGTCTACATGATAATCCGTGTAGATGCCCCTTCTGCATCAGTCCCAGGCTAGCAGAAATGTGAAACTCCGCTACAGTGTGTAACCGGAAAATCTGAAAATGAGATAGCCCTGGAAACCATCAACTCATTCTAGGTCGGCAGTTCCTTCTTCTCTGTAATTATGCCTAGAGACTCTCATCTGAAGGTCACTTTGAGGGACTCTCATGTTAAATTACATATTTTAAAAATTACTGTGAATGTCTGAATGTCAGTCACCAAATAACAACTATAAAATCAGAAGTAGCAAAGAACCCATAATTAAAACAGATTAAGAGGTCTGATCATAGCCAGATCCACTGACACGGCATTTTCAGCTCCTACCAAAACAGAGAAAACCCATGTGTAACTTTAAAGAAATAGTGCCTTCATTTAATTTCACTGTAAATGAGTTAGCTGTAACGATTTTGACAACAGGTAGTTTCAAAGAAATGAAACTTTATTGCTTAATTTAATAAACCTATTACAGGTTAGTTCTTTCAACTAACATTACATTATTATCTAAGAAACAAATCCCATTGTTTGATTCAAACTAGCTGTCTTTTTGCCCTTGGAATGCCAGAATTAAATACTAAATGTAAATTATTAGCCTTCATCTTTGTCTTCCAAAATGCTCGATTTAGAAACCATAATATTTCATAATCATTTATGTTTCCAGGCCTCTCTGGGATTTGGTTAATTTCAGTCTAATAAAGTTTCACTGAATTAAAGTGTGAATTAAAGAGCAGCTGTTCTTACTAGAAGTTTGTGAACACAATTTAGAGAAAGACTGGAAAGGTTCTCTGGCTTTTATCTACCGGAGATAGAATAACACAAGGACAAGTTTTGCTTGAGTAAAACCTTCAAACCACTTTATTCTACAGTCAAATAAGGTTTTTTTTTGGCAACTGTGTTTAATTCTTAATAAGATTGACAACGACTATTTGTACTCACACCTTCCATTTATTACATAAGTGGTAAAAACGAAATAGAAATCAGGTGATATTATGGTTACCTTTTCATTTTAAACTTCATTTATCTTTTTGAAGTCCCTGATATCCAAGAGCCAAAAATATAACAACAAAAACAAACTGGTGGCTAATAGTGATTGAGTGGTTCTGTTCTAAGTGCCTCACACATGTCAGTACACTCACTCTTCACACCCACCCTCAGAGGATTACTACCGCGCCCATTTCACACATGAGGAGACTGAGGGGCACAGCAGATAAGTACCACGCCGACAGTCGGTGTGACTTGTCAGGGTTGAGCCTTGTGGCGCCCAGGCAGTGTGGTTCCTGCGTCCGGCTCTTAACTGCTCTACTATGACTCCACTTCTGTGAACCACCATGACTCGGCCCAGTTGTAAGAAATTCCCAGACAGATTCCTACAAGAACAGTAGGAGGCCGTGCAATTCCACGTTCTCCACCCAACTACAGTTATGTTTTATCTCTTTCTTATGCTGTACGAGGCTCAAGCCATAATTAGTGGTTTCTAATAAAAGCTAACTTCCCAATGGTGAAGGAAGCCATTATAGTAGTTAACACAGCCATTTCCTCTGTTAGAAATAAGTGCCCCTTTACCTAATGTACAAAAAAATCAATATACTGAATGCCTTCCTCCAATAATCTTGGTTCAACTAGTAACTCTGAAAATTAAACTCAAATCTTGCCAGACATTTTTTGGTGGGATGGAAAGAGGTAAAAAGTCCTCACAAGTGCCCCCGATGCAGGACCTTAGCAACACCAGGAGCACAAAAGCAGCAGCAGATCCAGACCTGGACCCTCCCTGGCTTCCTGTCTTTCAGACAGGAGCTTACCCACACTCTGTTGGGAGTATCCCTTGCTTTTTCCACCTGCAGATACAAAGAGGTAAGGCTGGCGTAGTAAGGGAAACCTTGTGAATTTCATTATTTTTTGTCCTTTCATTATTTCTTATTCTTTGCCCCTAGAGGCCGTGTCTGCAGATGCAAAGTCCTTGAGATTCCTAGAGTCAGACCCAGGATGGATGCTCAGATGCCCCTACTGCCTGTGTGTAGGTCTAAGGCCGTAGGGCCCGGGCTGGCCATACAGCATCCTCTACTCAGGCTGTCTCAACCTAAGCGTGACTGACATTCGGGGCCTGAGAATTCTTTGTTGTGAGGAGCTGCCCCATGCACTGTAGGATATTTAGCAGAATCCCTGGCTACTACCCACTAGAGGCCAGTAGCACCTCCTTCTCCAGTTGTTACAACCGAAAATGCCTTCAGACATTGCCAAATGTCCCCTGGGGTCAAAATCATCTCCAGTGGAAAACCACTGCCCTGAATCAACAATTGCCAAATGCAGTCACATCCACATACACTATAATACCACGTATACTATATACAATATATATACCCTATTGTAGTATATGTACTATATGATTCTTTAAATCCACATATAATACATAATATGTATATATATTCTATAAATATATACGTGTGTATGTGTGTGCATGGGTGTGTGTGTGCAGTATATTCACAGCCCCTCTTAGAGGCCCCAACGACTTCCATGTTGCTAAATCCAATGGTCAGTTCTCATCGTTCACCCTTCTTGATCTACAGTAGTGTTGGGCCCAATTGATCATGTTCCACTTCTTCAAACACTTTCTGTTCTTGGTCCCAGGACACCACTCTTTCACAGTCTACCTCCCACTTCACTGTCCACTCCTTTCCAATCCTCTTTTCCAATTCTTCTCACCAATCCCTAAGGACTAGTGTCCCAGGAATCAATCTGACCTTTTCTCTTCTCTTCCATCCTCACTTTCTAAGTTACCTCATCTAATTTCATGGTTTTAAATATATCATGCATGAATCACAAATTCATCTTTCTATCCCTCTCCCCTATACTCAGAGTCATATAACCAATTTTCTAGTGAGCAATTCCATTAGGGTTTCTACCTTGAAACGATCATGGCCGAACAGATCATGCCTTAAACCTGCTCCTCCTGAACAAGTTAATGCAATTGTATTCCTCCTGACATTCAAGCACGAGATCTCAACGTCATTGCCAACTCCCTTCTTGTCTCACACTCCACATCCAACCCATCAGCAACTCCTGGCAGCTCCACCTTGAAAACACACCCAGGACTCTATCCTCTGACCTTCGCCCCCACTGTGTCTCACGGGATACTCTCTGTGATAGGGCCTCCCTTCTGCCTCGCTGCTTCCACTTCTCTCCTCCTCAGGCTCTTTCTCAACACAGCCGCCAGAGCGGTCCTATTAAAACAAATACTCAAAACCTTCTAGTGACTTCCCACTTCATTCAGAGAAAAAGCCGAAGTCCTTCCACTGTCCTGCACACTCTGCATAAGCTGAGCACGCCGCCTCTCCTCTGAGCACATCTCCCATTCACTCTGCGCCTGCCCATTTGGCTTTTCTTTTCTTCAAAACAACCTGCATGCTTCTGCCCCAAGTCCTCCGCATCACCTTTTCCCTCTGCTTTGAATGCTCCTCCCCTGGGTTCCAGCAGAACTCCTTCCCTCACTTCCTTCAATTCTCCATTCAAATACCCATTGATCAGGGAGGTCTTCCCTGGCCGTTCAGTTTCAAATTACTTTAACACCCTACAACACCACCCTACCCATATCCATTATCCTGCTTTGTTTTTCTCCTTAGCATTTATCACATACTGTAAACTTATTTGTTTATTTATTTTTTAAATAATCTCTCTTGAATACAGGGACTTTTATACTATTCTGCGTTTTTTTCTCAACAATCTGTCGCTAGTGCTTAAAATAGTGCCAGCCTCAAAAACGGGCACTAGATAAATATTTGTTGAGTGAATGAATTAACATATATGAGCTATATATGAGTAAGTGTCCAGCAATATGTGCTTGCGTGTATGTATATGTATTTTTGTGTATCTGTGAATGTGTATTGGTGGAATTGTATATACATACATGTAAGCAAATGAATAAACTGCTGGCACAACACATTGGATTCCTACTATTCCAGATTTCATTAATTTAAATGTTTATACAAATTGGTTTTTACCTTAAAAATAATTATAAAAAGCATAAGGTATCATAGTTATAAGGAATCTTAAAAGTAACCTAGTCCAATTTCCCTTTTCATACCATACTTTTTGCTCC